ACATTGGTCTAGATAATGTCAAAAAAATTAAATTCCAATGTTAAAACATTTTTGGCAAAAAGGGCGGTAAATTTATTCGAACCAACTTTGATCTGTAGACCTATCAAATTAAAGAGACATGAATCAACAATATAAAATATTTTAAAAAAAGAATGATTAAATATTTGGACCACTTTTGGTACGGATAACACTTCCAGGCCAACATTGGTCTAAATATTATGGCCAGTGCACTTTTTTTATTTTTGTTGACACCTAGAACGATGCATGGTTCATTATATTCTCCCTTTGCCAATAGTATTTGAAGGGTTTGAATACTATATAATCCAAACTTAAAGCTAACATTGACAATCCAAAGGATTTATGGTTTCGTAACGGTGTGACATAAGTATAAAATTAATAATCTTAACTCCTCACATTTAAGATTTTACAATGATGTCACCTTACGTCACGAAAAACCAATTTCAGGTGTTTGACTGATTGTGCCGGGGTTATGGGTGACAATAGTGGTATAGTGCGTGCAGATGGTTTCGGTAGAAATAGAATTGGGGCTCGGGAAAGCCTAGTTGACTTTAAAAGAAAAGAATAAAAAAGTCTTAGAAGAGAAGTTTCTAAATTCTGCAGAATATATTTGGATCATTGTTGGTTTAAATAACTTTTCCAAACCAACAGTGGTCCGAATATCATGCATAGTATATATAAATATATATATATATATATATTTTTTGCTTTACACCTTGAACTGTGCGCTATTCGTTGTACTCTCACTCTAACAACAACATCTAAATGTTTTGAATACCTTAAAACCTATATTTAAATCTAAAGGACTTGGGAAAGCCTAGTTGTCCTTAAACAAAAAAAATGAAAAAGTCCTAGAAGAGAAGTTTCTAGATTCTGGTGGCTTTATTTGGACCACTTCTAGATCATCAGTGGTCTGAATATCATGCACAGTTTTTTTTCTCTCTCTCTTTACACCTTAAATTGTGCCCGATCTGTTGTACTCTCACTTAAACAATGGCATTTAAAGGCCTTGAATAACTTAGAACCTATATTTAAAACTAACAATAACAATCCAAAGGGTTTCTAGCTTCGTAACAGTGTGGCATAAGTTTAAAGTTAATAATTTTAAGTTTTCACGTTTAAGATTTTGCAATGATGTTGCCTTACATCATAAAAAACCAATTTCAAGTGCTTGAATGATGGTGTCGGGGTTATGGGTGACTATATTAGTGTAGTGTGTGTACATGGCTTTGGTAGAGGAATCGAAGCTCAAGAAAGCCTAATTGTCCTTAAATGAAAAGAATGAAAAAGTCTTAGAATAGAAGTTTCTAGATTCAAGGGGCTTTATTCAAACCACTAGTGGTCCAAATAACTTTCCAAACCATCAGTGGTCCGAATATCATGCACAGTTTACTTTTTTTTTTTTTTTTGCTCCTTCACACCTTAAATCGTCCCTGATCCATTAGACTCTCCTCTAATAACATCATCTAAAGGCCTTGAATAACTTAAAACCTATATTTAAAACTAACAATAACAATTTAAAAAGTTTATAGTTTCGTAACGGTTTGGCATAAGTATAAAGCTAATAAACTTAACTCCTTGCGTTTAAGATTTTATAATTTTGTTGCCTTACGTCACGACAAATCAATTTCAGGTGCTTGACTGATGGTGCTAGGGTTATGGGTGACTATAGTGGTTCATTGCGTGCACATGGCTTCGGTAGATATGGAATTAGGGTTCGAGAAAGCTTAGTTGTCTTTAAATGAAAAGAATGAAAAAGTCTTAGAAGAGAAGTTTCTAGATTCTGTGGAATATGGTCAGACCATTGTTGGTTCGAATAACTTTTCCAGATCGATAGTGGTCCGAATATCATGCACAGTTTACTTTTTTTTTTTTTTTCTTTACACCTTAAACCTTGCCCGATCTGTTGTACTCTACTTGAACAACAACATTTAAAGGCCTTGAATATCTTAGAACCTATAGTTAAAACTAACAATAACAATCCAAAGGGTTTATGGTTTCGTAATGGTGTGACATAAGTATAAAGTTAATGAACTAAACTCCTCACATTTAAGATTTTATAATGATGTTGCCTTACGTCATGAGAAACCAATTTTAGGTGCTTGATTAATGGTGCCGGGGTTATGGGTGACTATAGTGGTTCAGTGCGTGAACATGGCTTCGATAGATATGGAATCAACACTCGAGCAAGCCTAGTTGTCCTTAAATGAAAAAATGGAAAAGTCTTAAAAAAGAAGTTTCTAAATTCTACGGAATATATTCGAACCACTGTTGATTTGAATAACTTTTCCATACCAATAGTGGTCCAAATATCATGCATAGTATACTCTTTTTTTCTTTTTTTTTTTTGCTTTACACCTTGAACTGTGCGCTATTTGTTGTACTCTCACTCAAACAACAACAACTAAATGCCTTGAATACCTTAGAACCTATACTTAAATCCAAAGGGTTTAGGAAAGCTTGGTTGTCCTGAAACGAAAAAAATGAAAGTCTTAGAAGAGAAGTTTTTAGATTCTGGTTGATTTGTTCGGATCACTGTT